CTTACAAGACTTATTTTACTTTTATAGGTCTTTCAAGCTACACAAAAATTCCCAAACCTATTTAAAGTGCACAGGATCTCTGCCTGGGAACCTCAAAATATGTTATAACACATTTAAGCTTCCCAGTTTTATTGTGAGAAACTGAAGCCTTATTTCAAGCAGGCAGGGAAATACTGAGAGATCTGGACACACTTGCACAGCTGTGTTGAAATTGCATCTTAACCAGCAGATAAACATTCTGAGCTCCTCATTCAGAGACACAGTTGTGCACCTTGGACATTTCCCAACAGCACGTAGAGGGAACCTGTCTCCTAGCACACAATCTGTGCCTCAGTTTCCATGGAAACTCAGCTTCCTCAGTTTTCTTAAAAAATCAAGGCAAGGAGTGAATGAAGATATTATGCCTCTGGTTGAGATGCCTGAAGAAACCTAGACAATAAGGTGCAAATGTGCACGTAATTCATCTTTATCTACACAGAGCTGAAGAAGCCAAGAGTACCGACCGGAGCCTTCCCCTGAGCGACCTTAACATGAGTTAGTTAAAAGCAGACACAAATGACCCCAAAGCAAAACAAATAAATCATCAGCAGGAATTCAGCAGTGAGAATATGACTGCCTCTCATTCTCCAGTGAAATGTATTTTAGTGGAGCTTGAGTGTTTGCTTTACACTAATGGTTATGCTGTTGCCTTATGGTTTGGGCAGTAATGGAAGAAAAGTGTACTAATAAATGCACGGTGAGTGTACAACAATGTTGACAATAATATCCTGCCACTGAAGCTTTCCAAAAAGAGGTATTTTATTATGGAAAAGACTTGCAAGGGAATATGCATAAAACACAGTTTTGGGTAGGAGGATAAATAGTATTAATCTCAAGCTATTACACAAACAGTCAAACATTAAATGATTTCTGAATGCAGAAAGGGATCTTAGCTAAGAAAGAAACAGGATGTTTTGATTATTATCCCTAAAACTTCTGCAGCCTGCTTGAAAAGACTGTTACTGCGTATCAGTTATATTTAATTTTCTTTCCTTAATATTCTTCTACCTAAAAAGTACAAGTTGCATACTATCTATACTATATAATTCAAATCTCTGAGCAAAAAGGAGAAGTGGTAAAACTGCAGATTTTCCTGCTGTAGAAGATCCAGGATGCTCCCCAGCTTTTACTGAGCAATGGGGAGAGGAAGGCCAAGGACTGCACAGCTACCAACTTCATACTGCACAGGAGTGAAGCTGCTGTTTAAATTGGTGTGCAGCACTGGACCAAATATCACAATATTACTTTTTGTATGTTGAATATGTTATATAAATAAAATTATACTTCATTCCCCTCATGATACAACGCATAAACAGAAAACAAAACCCCAGAAGTATTTAAAATAAACCTTTCTAATTTTAAAGTATGATAAAAAAAAATCAGTATCTCTGAAAAATCTTAACATTACTACAGTATTTTACATGAGCAATAAAAAAGAATTATTAACCCATCTTATATATTAATAACTTTAAATGGTTTAATTTTTTATAGTCAATGAGGAAATATTTGTAACTCTTCAAACCATATTTTAGAAATATAGTACAATGTCGGGTACTCTCTTTAATATTTCTAATTACACACATGAAGTAAGTGCTAGTATCTTCCAAATTTTCCATTTGAATGAAAAAATTCTGATATATTAGCATGATCTACATAGCTCCAGAAATCTATTGCAGTCATGAATGGGGTGGGAATGCTACAACTGCAGCTAAGTCCATCAAAAATGAACAATTTGTGTGCCAGACAGCCCAATGGGCTAGGCATACTGTTTGTTGGTATCCTTGGAAAGGCTTTGTGAGTTTTGCCAGTAGTTATTATAAGGTACAAGACACCTTATTTTTATATTTATTTTCAGTGAAACCTCCACCCATATGCCAGTACACACCTGGGGACGCAGGTTGCAGTGTAGCACAGCTCATCTGTACCCACCATTTAGTAAGGTACACAGAGACAGAACATTAACTTCTCTGTAGTATCATGAAATTCTAGAATTATAGAATATTCTGAGTTTGAAGGAACCCATAGGAATCATTGAGTCCAACTCCTTGCTCTTTGCAGGACCATTTGCATATGGGAATCCGAATCCATGATATCGAAATAGGGAGTGTGCAGCAGGGTTAGACCATACAAATACACAACAGTAAACAGAAATAAGCTATAAAAGAAATGTTCACTATTTCAACACCAGGCTCCATTGCAAGACAGTCTTTGACATCCTTCACTGGAAGGCTGTTGCCTGGCTCCCTCCTTACTCATACTACTCTCTTTCTCAACTGCACTTTGCTAGAAAATTTTCCATTTTTTTTACCCTAACTTTTTCTTCTATGCATCACATTTCCCAGTAAGAGTAACCTAGGAAAGCCCTGTGAGCTCAGATCAGGACTTTCCCCCTTCTCCTTCCTCAGCCAAGTACCTATTTCAACTACCAGTTTTAAGCTTCTGTCAAACAGCAGCTCACACCCATTTACCTGGTAACTTTACTCTCATTGCTAGAGATTTTTCTAGCCCACAGTTACATGAAAACACGAATGATTCAGAATGCAAGAGACCTTTCTCATTTAGAGGTGCTCTTATGGCTCAAGGGAAGGCAACTTATTATTAGATAAGTCATCACTAATATTTGTTTATTATAACCTCGCCCTAGGGTCGCTCGTGTCTCCTTCCTAGAGGAAACCATAGCACCCCTGAGGTATGCTAGTCTCTGAACAATAACACTGTTGATGTAATTCACTGGCACCTTCCTCATGGCATCACTGCAGGATGTCTGATGCCCTTGCATCATACTCTTTTCAGGATTCAGGACTTAATTAACACTTTGAGTCATATTAGCCCCATTGGTAAAACCCTCTATGCAGTCATTAGTAACACTTCCATTCAACTCCACACCTGATTTCAGAGAAAATGTGACCCATCAGACTTAAGAATGCTGAAACTTCAGATAAATAATTCAGCCTCATTACATAAAGTTTATAAATTGACAGCATAAAGGTAGTCCTTGAAAAAAGCAGAAAGAGAAATACATGTGGAAGATGAAGTTATCCTCTTAGCAGAAATCAATACATCAGGTTCAGGAGATAATGAGTGTCTCCTGTGTATAAAAATATGTACAGGAAGGTTTAAAATCAAAAGTCATTGAAAGTTCTGGTATACATCTGGGATAATTGCAAAGAGAAAAGTCAGTATAAATATCTGAGCTGCTAGGAGCTACTGGACCAAAGGACCATCCTTCTCCTAATTCAGTCACCTTTTACCTCAGGAAACTGAATCATATTGCCCTTTTCAAAACGTGACCATGTGCTTGCCTCAAGTGAAGTAGCACCTTTCTTCCACATTCACAGAAAAACTGTTCTGGAAAATTTCTTAAAGTAAGCATGAGACACTTCTTTAATTTCCTTAAAATTTTAAGATCACACTACCACACACACATAAAGAAAAAACCCTACATTAATCTTAAGTCTTGAGAAAAGACAAGCTTTTGTTTTGATAACTTAAAAAAGCCAAACTTATATTGGTTGAAGGAAAAATGCGGGAAAATTAGGTATTCTCAAAGGTCTGCAAATGATTTACAATATTTTACAACAGTGAACAAAGTCCACAGGATGCCACATAAACACAAGCCCACTGAAGTAAAACAGGAAAACAAGAAGAATATCAGATATATTTTCCAGTAATTTGAATGAATTAGAGAAGCTTTGGCCCAGAATAACACTGATGCACATTGTGTATTAGGTAAACAAGGCAACTGGAAGAATGAACCCTTGCTAAAATCAAAGGCAGGACAATGGGTACCTCTTCTGGTACCTTTGCACAGACAGCAGACTGTCCAAAATTTCATTGCCTACAGGAAGGTGACTCCTCAGGGCAGCAGCAGCAGTTGCACTCACACTGATTCTTCAGCTGCATGAAACTGTTCTGATGAAAGGACTGTTTGGGTGGGACTCATCTCCCCCAGCTTTACACATTTACAATATAGGCATTTAGATTTGAGGCTTTTCCAGCTGAGAAAGAGAGAAGAAAGTTCTTCTCGGCTATAGTTCATCCCATTTTAAAGTCTTACTCAGAAATGTCAGGTCAGTCCTGACTGAGGAGTGACTGTTTTATTCCACTGAACAAAAAAAGGAGTTTAGGACAACCAGCTGAGTAGATGTCTACAGTTAGGTGAATTAATCCCTCTTTCTTCTCTCTTTCACTTTAAAAGACGTATCCAAACTCATCTGCAAGCCAATGTGGATATGTAATTGCCCAAGAAAATCCAGTCAGCTTTTACATCTTTTAAACCTATGTCTAACAGCTTCATTCTGAATGAAGTATGTTTGCTAATTCATCCAGATCCCTCCATGTGTGTTTGGTCAGTATCTTCTGAAAAGCACTTTAAATTCTTATACTGGTGAGTGTGGTGTAAGTAGGAACCATACAAAGCAATTACCCAGGTCTGGTGTTTTACAGGATAGAAGAGAAAGGGACTGCTGGCAAAAGCTCTTTAAAGAAACAGATAGCTCTTAATCTAAGCATAAGGAATTTTGAGGTCACAATGAATCATGGCCTTCACACAAAATATGAATGAAGTACAGGTTAAATTAGCAAATCAGAAAAAAAAAAAAAACCCTGTTTCTTGTTTCCCCAAGCTCCTTGCTGACTATAGAGTACAGTGATCTTCAAGTTATAAACATTCGTGTGCGTCACCTAGAGGAATATTTTCCAATCTATTTATAGCTTGATTTCTTCCTTGGCCGTGGTTTCTATCTGTCGGTCAATATTATAAACATCTGCCTATGCCAACAAACTAGTTCATTTTTACCATGAAGTCAGGAGCCATCTTTCTACATGTCATGTCTTATACACATCACACTGAAACTGCTTCTAAGCGTATAGGCAGTAAAAATAACAATGAAAGCATGTTTCAATAGTAAATAAAGATATTTTAAAATACTAAATAGAAAACTTAACCCATTAGTACTCACCACCAAGGCTTTAGACCTGTTACTTAGAAGTTTTTCAATGTCTCTGGCTGCAATTTCCACTAGCTGACGAGGGTTGTTTGCTTGTACAGTATACAATGCTGTGTTTTTCAAATAAATCTGCAAAAGAAAAAAATGGAAATAAATCAGAATGACAGTACACATTCAAAATAAGCCAAGTGACTTGCTGGAAGAGGCATCAAGATGTCGTCTGTTCCTACTGGACATCCATAAAGACTACTGCTAGGAAAATCCAAATGGGCCCTGTGAAAGAAGTACTTCACCTTTCTGTCTGAGAGGTAGAAGCTGACGCTAAAAATCATTTAATAAATCTTTAAAATTGACCAGTTTGTCAATTAACCAACTGCAAAATAATAAAGGAATCTGATTCCCACAGAGTGCTAAGAAAGCAGTAAAATGAAGATCCTTTAAAATGACTGAATTTCAAATAAAATAGTTGTTGCTGAATTGAATTCTTCCTTGGTAGCTGAAAAACAAACATACCAATTGAATTAATTAATATAAGTTATGCTAATTTAATCAGTTTAGTCCCCTATCTATTTATTTATATGATAGTATTAGTATTCACAAGGAAAGAGAAGGAGGAACAAGTAAGAGGAAAAAAAGGGAAAAGCATAAATACAAAAGGGGAAATGGAGAAAAAAGATGAGGGAGAAGAGGGGAAATACAAATGTTTCTCCTCTGTCATGAATAAAGGTTATCTCTGAGGAGCCATTAACTGTTTCCAAAGCAGAACATGTATATGAAAGAGATAATTTTATTTAATCAAAAGTCACTAAAGTGAAAGACACTAAAGTGAAAAGCATGTAACCGTAAGAAGGAAGAAACAAGAAAAATGCAAAAAATGCATTTGTCTATATCTGTCCTACTACAACTTGGTAAAGGGAAAGGAAAGGGAAAAAAAGGAAAAAACAAAAAGAAAAAAATTGGATACCTTATAGCTAGATGGGCAAATGGTTAAAACTAATTTATGCGCCAACAGATGGCCTGAGTTTACTCAAGTACTTTGCCTCTGTAGCCTGGTGGGGGCTGCGCTGTCTCCCAGGGAGTGATTCCAGGCACAGGCAGGAACGGGTCCAGCACTAATGCCCTGGCTGCCATCCAGCACGAGAGCCCAAAAACTGCCCAGCAGACTGAGCCTACCAGCCCTGCCAGCTTTCTCGGGCTAAGGCTTAAAGAAACTCTCCACAGTATGTCTGTGGTGCCTGTAGCTGATAAGTACCACAAAAACTTTTCTGACAACTACAGTTAGAGATGGAAATTTTTATCAGGCATGTCCCATAAGCTGCCACAGCTTTTCAGCACTTACAAATTTTATAAAATTTCTGTTGGGTCTGGGTTTGTTGTTTATTTTCCTTCAGAAGTACAGTCATGAGCAAGTGGAATAAGCTTTATTCCTCATATAGTAATAACTATTTTAAAAAGTCAGTGCACCATGAGCAGAAAACTACTACAAGTGATGGATCCTAATCAACTCATCTCAGAGTTTGGATACTTTTGAGGTGCTTGTTTTTCAAAACAGCCACACAAGAAGTTCATCTCTGGCTAAACCCAAAAATCTCTTTTTGAGGGGCTTGTGGGTTTTTTTTTATTTTTA